TTACCTGATTGTTCTCGCCTGTGCCTTGTTAGTCTGCCCTGTCTTTTGTATATAATCCTGGTCAGAGTCAGTCTTCCCCAGATGAGTCATTGTATTGTCAAGTCTTGTTCCTGTCTGCCTCTGTCGACCTCCATTAAACCCCGTTTCCCCGTATGCCTGAGTGGACTCGCCTGTTTGCTCGTTCGCTCACCCTCGAAACGTGACAATTATAATTCCAATAACAAATATTAATTTAGTTTTCGAATTAGTATACTATTGAAATGGTGTAGGCTGTGCAAACAAGGCATCATGTAATTTCTAATTTTGTGTTATGCTGTTGTGTTATTAGCACTGATAATCGCAGTGGTATTTAAAATGCCCCTATTATGTCATTTTAAAGGTTGCTAATATTGTTTTATGAGAACGTGGGCGGACATTATGCAAATATGTTACTCCGTGTGTGACGTGGCCGTAACAGAAAAAGATTCGAATTGCTGACGACTCGTTTAGGCGAATGTGAGTCGACTCTTTTCTGTTTGATAGACAAAAACTTCATTTATCGTTTACTGTCGGCAACTTAGGTAATTTATGTTCACATACAGCTACATGACAAGGCATAGTGATATGGCATGAAAAGGCATAATAGGGGCACTTTAAGTAACCACAGCAGGAGTTCATTTGTAGACTATTTGCTCTAGCATTTTGGGCTCACCTTTCTTGGGAAAGAAGTTGGTAAGCAGTTGCTTTCCCTCATTTCTTTTTTTCTCCCTTTCTTGCCTCTCTTTTCTCTTCTGAAAACCAGATTTACCTTTCTTTGACATCATTTTCCATGCACTGCCGTCTGCCGCTTCAGCAGAATGAACGCTACTTCAAATGTGCCTAGTCAAAAAGCCCGGTGAAGGTGGACTAAACCATTTTGTGCAAGGAGAGGGTGCCTGTCCTCAGACACTATAGCCTATGTACTTGGACACCATTTAATACATCAATCAACTGATGCATTTACCCATTTAATATTAACATTTACATTAGTTAACAACATTTATTGTGATCTTAAAATTATATTTAAAGGAAAATAAAATTTCACTCCTCAGGGGCCCTCCCCCCACTTGGGGCCCTGGTAATTTAGTCCCACTTTTCACCCAACTACGACGCCCCTGCAAACGATTACTTGCTGCGTGTCCTTCTACAGCTTGTCTGCGAACTATGGACGCAATCAGAGCGTATAAGAACAGCGCGCGCTTACAATTGAAAATAATTATCATACTTCACCTGGCAACACTATTTTCTGATTAGCTGATAGGTTGCTAGGTCAAGACAGTTGTAAGTTAAGCAGAGCTATTGGTCTGCGCCTCGTCTCGCGAGCTTTATCGCTTCTCGGCGTGTGAATTATCAGGTGTGGTGTGTGAAATTGGGTGCGTTTGACTTGGGCTGTCTGCAGCTGATGTGACATGGAGCGAGATCTGCCTGCTGTTGCAGGGGTGGAATATAAACTGACTGCAGCCAAGTCGGACAACTTCTTGTGGTAGTGTGCGAGACCCGACTGCAATGGCCGCACTGCCAGAAGGGTGCAGATAAAGCTATACAAATATCACCGCATGCACGTACATTACTTATTTTACAATAACCAACTACTGATCCAAACTGTTAGCAGTGAAAAAAAATAACTATTGTGTATAGTGGCTCTGTGTAAAAAGAGATGTCAGGAAAACGATCAAATACATTTATTTCAAGGATTCAAAGACTAAAATCGGACGTCCGTCTAACGTTGTAAATGAAACGTTCCTGGGAGGACCAAAATCGGACGTCCACCTAACTTTGTGAATGAAATGTTACCTGGCAGACCAAAATCGGACATCCAAAAACGTCACGTTGACGTCGCTTGTTAGCTGGGTGATCGTGTCAGTGTGATTGCAGTTATTCTCACACATGTTTTTTCTACTGAAGCCGACTTCAGTCTCGACAGGTCCTCTTTTTATTCAGTGTACATGTTACTTCTTTGAAATTCCATTTAGGCTTATTGTAAAGTGGAGGTTGACTTTTCTGGCTCCTTCCACGAATTGCACTCAATTGAGGCTTGACAGTTTGAAATTTATGGACAGAACACTGACATCATGAAATTGCTTTTCTTCAAACTTATGTCATTGCATATACATGCGTTAAACAACAGGAAAAGTTCATAAACAATTGATCAGTAAAGTCTGATGGAGCGTGGCTGTCTACGAGAGACTGCAAAATATTAATCTATAATACAGTAGTATATATGATAATATGAAACATAATGGCTCATATTTAGGACTAAACTGGCAGTAGTAGATTTGTTAATTTGACAGAATTTAGCGGAACTTTCTTTTCAGCTCATGTGAGCACGGTAAATATTTTACAATGGTGAAAAGAAAGTCAGCACAAAAAGAGAAACGAAACACATTTTACTCTGGCATGTTTTTAGTTTTTTTTTCTTTAAGTTACAAATGCAAGGTGTCAACACCAAGATTTTAAACTTGACAACGATGTCAACTGCTAAGAAAAAGAGATGACCAGAATGGGGAAAAACATGAGGAGGATTTGTAAGAAAAAAAAACTCGACGTATTTGTGTTCTAGATGAATCTTTGTTAATACCGGTGGGATTTTCAAATAGTTTAATCACAAGGTGTCTTGTGCTGGTAGCTCGTCATGAGGTATACGGTCCATCTCTGGGATGTAGGCTACAGCGGGGGGATTATTGAGGATCGTTTCACTCCTAAGTGCCAGGAGTTGCCGATCTACAATGCATTTCTAAATTGTACCCACCTCTCTCTCTCCCTGGCAAAGCAACATATTATGAAATCCCCGTTGCGCAGACTTTGAGAAATGAGGAATTTAGAACTCTGTTAAAACTTACGTAATTTACTTCTCATATTATCAAAAATAATTCATTGTTAATTATTATGGAGTATCAATAGGAGCTATACCCATATTCTCTGTATTGCCTGTAATAGGTTCCAGTTCCGACCCCCGCGACCCTAATGGATGGATGGATATTGGAACTATTCTTTGTCTTTAAGGATTGCCCATTGTCTGTTGAAGGTTAAATTGTTCAAATAAGACACCCGCCTTGTTTTATAACTTCCGAGGAGGCATATACAGTTTTCACTATGTTTTCAGGTATTTATATTTGCCCATGGTAATGAGGCGCATAATTTGTTTAATGAAGAACTCTGTGACATTTCGTTTTTAGTAAATGTAATATTGTATACATAGGTGTCAAGTACAAATATTAACAATTAAACAGGAAATGTTGTATTGCGCCGGGAGAGGAGCGCATTTGTTCCTTGCTTTCCCCTTGAGTGCCGAATGGGGGTGGAGAGTCAGGAATCGTGACGTAGGGTGCCGGCTGTTTAACAGGAAAGAGTGGAGGAGTGTGTAAGGGGAAAATGACCGACAGTGACCTCAATCAAGAGCTTTAGTAATTCTCTATTCACCTTTGTTTTAATGAAGCGACGACTAAGTGCGTGTTCCAGTTAGGGCAGATATACGTGTTTTGCAAGCAGCTTCCGTAGCACAGCTCTGGGGAGTTTGCGGATCATCGACGGGCGAAATCGCTCTCCCCTTTTTTTCTTACTGAAATAGCTCGCCTGGCTTAGACTGTCAGATATGGATCAAGGCAAGTCAGTTGCGGATCAGAAAGGCGCCGGTTTCTGTTTTACCAACGGGCTACAAAATGGGTTTTGCGCACCGCAACTAAGTAATGGGAGCGTCGGCGGTCATGGATCAAGTGGCGGCGGCGGTGGCGGCACCAGCGGCAACCATAGTGGCATTGAAAATTTCCACCATCTTCACCAGGATCCGCAGAATAATGGGTCCCCCGCTAAAAGGTGCAGGCTGCGAAGGAGAATGGACTCGGGGAAGAAGAACAGACCGCGTAAGTATTTCCTCCAGCTTTTTTCTCCCCGAGGAAAGCGATTAAAGGCGATAACTTGCCGGGGACAGACAGGCCGTTCTTTTCAGCGGCGCACAGCTGGTCTATAATAAGATGTCCCGTCTCATGCTCTTTAGAAGATACGCGCTGTATGTACGAAACGTGTGTTATGTTATGTAGCTGGCATTTCAACATCTTGGATGGAAATTTAAAAAGCGTCACTTGGTTTTTGTTTTGTCTAAGTGTATCATTTCTGGATCTGTCTATAAATGACTAATTTGGGCACCTCCATTGCATCCGAGTATGAACGGACGCATAAATGCCGGTTGCAGCACTTTCGTCAACGTGCTTCTTAAATCGCAATGGGTGCAAATCAATGCGATTATGAAGGCGCTGATTATTTTAAGGCGTGCGGAGTTCGATCGCACGACATTATAGTCGCTTATAAGCTGGTCTCTTTAACTGTAAGGAAAGGCACCTCCTCCTCTTGTGTTGTGATGAAACGCTGGAGGTAATTCGCAGTCCCGTTTCATTGGGCGCCTCCCAGTCAGGAGGTTGTGCTGAGAGCGCTGCTGATACGAAGGCCGGGCCTCCTCAGCCAACTACAGGCCGGCATTTGCGGGCAGGGCCGGCGCATAAAACTGCGGGGAATGCGTTTTTCCCCCTATGCTAAGAAGCAGAAAGTTTTCTTACACCGGCAACACAGGGAAGCCAGCATCGAGCTTCAGTAACTTCAAAACACATATAAACTTAAGGAATAAATAGTGCGCTGAATTGGCTTGAATTGAATTGTCTTTGGAATTAAGTCTCGTGTCAATTTTGCTTGCACCTGAACATCACTATGAAGCTTAAGGGTATTAAGAAGCCAGGTAAGTGTCTTTCAGTTAAGTGTGAGCGTCTTTCTACACGTCTGTCTTGCAGCCAAAATCTGACTTCTGACTTTCGTTGTCGTATCTATTTGAGATCTTTCAGCTGTATTATGTTCAGATTCACAGTTTTTTTTAGTTGTCCTTTGCCTTAGTCTACGAAATGAGTCTTCTCTGAGAAGCATGCAGGGTTTGCAGTTCAGTGTTCACAGAAGTGCTTGAAAGTTTTTTGCATCCCGCTGTAGTCCTTCATTTACAGTTCATGTTAAATGCTTATCAGTGTCAAAGTGCCAAAGCACAGGGCAAAGAGTTCAGGATGTTAACCTCTATTGCTTTATTGGTTAGCTACCAGTCATAAGGAAGGGCATCTGTTTATCGTTTTATGAAATATGAATCTGCCATCCCATTTTTGTTTATAATGCAAAATGAAATGCGGAAACATTTGGTATAGTCCACTTTGGGGAGGTAGATGCTGTCCCAGTACCAGGGCTTGGGCACTGTCATGCTCAGTATCCTCAACTCTGATAGTGGAGTGGATCTTCTGATGTGTGCGAGATGCTGGGACAGCCATGGATTTCCCTCGAGTGCATTTTGGGGGAAAGATTTACCTGAGAAATGTCCAATAGATGCTTGGACCACACTGTTGTTGTGATACGTTAAATACCTGTCCGCATTCAGCTGAGCAAATTTGTTTAGTTTGCAAGACCGTCTCTGTTAATTATTGACATTGGCTGCAAAAAGTTTTGTAAATTTCCTGTGTTCGTATCAGCGTAGGGTATATTTTAAGCTAGAGGATATTGATCAGATTGCTATAACTTACACAGCTCTTTCTCCTAATCAGCTGGCAGTCCATCACAGATATATCACGACAGCAATAACAAAATGAACTTAATAGTGACTGAAATATCCTGTTCAGTAGGTACACAAATAATTCCCCTGTAACAGGGGTGGCCAATCTTATCCGCAAAGGGCCGGTGTGCGTGCAGTTTTTTGGGATAACCTGTAGGTCAGCTGTTCAAACCCAGGTGTGAGGACTCTTCAGCCAATCAGTCCTCTAATTAGTAATCTAATTAGGGATTTGCAGCGAAAACCCGCATACACACCGGCCCTTTGCGGATAAGATTGGCCACCCCTGCCCTATAATCATATCAGGGTCAAGTGGCATATTAATTAATATTAATTAGATATCCTTCAGCATGCAGTATTATAAAATATGGCTTTGACTTCCATAAATAATTAAGTGTACAGGTACAATTCATTCCACATTAATACAAAGATAATTATTATAAAATATTTTCGTTGTATGTCTGATAGGGTCATCATTTATTGATATTAATCTCAAACCACAGTTTAGTGTTTGTGGGTTTTAATATCCTTAATGAATTTGGACAACAATTTCTCTTTCTGTATGCCAGTATTGGCCTGCATAACCCCTTGGTTAGTGTTTGCTTTTGCATCCAATAATGGGTTAATTTTGGACGTAGTAGGTGTGTGTGCACTTTCCGTGAATGACGCACTGCTCACTTGCTCCCCCTGTGGCCGCTGAGCACTTTGCGCGATGAACCTCATGGAAGGAAAGTAAACACACCTTTCACCTACATGCACTGCTTGTCATGGTGTCCTTATGGGGCATCACAGGGTCCAGGGCAGTCAGATGGTCACATGAGAAAGTCATGTGACCTTGCTGCTGGTCCTTTGACAGAAGATGTGCAGTTGTCTCATCTGTTTGTTTGATATTTTTGATCTGACAGTGTGTTTTAATTCATCATGTGTCCCCACAAATATTTTGTGTTTGTAATACCAGGTGGTGAATAGTGCTGGTCCAGAAAGTACAAATCCAGACCAATCCACCTGTAGAGTACTCTGTGACTGTGATTCTCTACACTCAACTGGTTGGTTGAAACAAAATCTTGGTTTGGATTTTTACTCTCCACCTCTGTCGATACCTGTGCTACTAGATATTTGGTGAATTTATTTAATATGGACTACCTGTGCTTTTCTCCTGTGCCACCTGTGAAAAATCATAATTGGTTCCATTGCAACAGCTGATGTTTTAAACATTAGTTATGTAAGATTTTATGAACACAGTGTCAGTTAATGTTTAATTTCTTATGGCATGAGGCACGAAGTGTCAAATGTCACAACAAAGATGAACGCCGGGTTCAAAGGTCAGGGGCGCCGCTTCATTACAGCAATATTCACCATGGACTGCAGTTATCACTGGCACTGCAGTTTTAGTTTAGCCAAGGCTGAAGTAACAATTGAGTAAGCATACAGTTTTACATGTCTGTGTTATCTGATACTTTCACAGGTCTGCTTTGTGAGGTAGTATTTTCCTACATTTATTTACATTTACATTTATAATTCATTTTTATTTAGCAGATGCTTGTGTCCAAAGCAATGTACATGTGAGGCGTATAGTATGTAACAAACATATGTGCCGTCACGGGAGCGACCAGGCATAAGTGCATCTAGGCTGAGCTTCCAATGAAGCTGTTGTCAGTGTCTGAGATTGAATTTTGCTTCCTCTCAGCCCCCCTGGATACACCCATCCTCAACTCCGCCCACACTGTGATCCTACTGTGACACTTGTTTCGTTTTTTCTTTTTTTACACATCTGCTCTCTCCCGGATGCCACAATGGCTGCATTTCGTCTTTGTTCCTCCTCCTCCTTTTATTAAACCTGTCTCCACTGTCATTGCCCAAATAAAGTCCTTGTTCCTTCCTCCATCTCCGTGTGGCGTGGCTGCATTCATTGTCCCATGTCCTATCCGGTGCAAGCGACATGCCCACCTTCCGATAAATAACAGGGCGAGGCGGTAATAGGCTACAAAATTACGGGAATGCTTTAATTGCGTATAAATGGCTGTGGAAAAAACATTGGGGAGGACCCGTGGACAGAGCCGTGAGGCACAGGAAGGGGAGCATGTGGAGACTTAGGACTCACTGGTCTAAAATACTCCAAACAGAGCCAGAGAACGGGAGACAGGTGGAAAATATGAGCACTGATAATTCTTGTAACCCGACTCCGTCCCAAGCTAGATGATCGGCCCCAGCCCCTTCTCCTGGTGGCTGTGGTTTTCTGTTTTTACATGGATGTTATGGATCAATGCATGGTCTTGGGGCTAATGAAGATAAAATTTGGAATTGACTCAGATGCGGTGGGAGTCAGAATGCAGAGAAGCAGTTTCCAGTGAGTCCTCAGCACATGGCACTAGTGTGTTGGGAGTTTCCTTAACTGAGGACCTCTCCTGTTTGTAACCACATTTAACAGTTTTATCTTGGATGTGACTAGTTTTAGCGGCTGTGTGTATAAATATATCCTGTGTAAATGCTAGGTGGTTTACAGCAATGAAGTCTCCCCTGTTCCCTGTAGCACAGCTTTCTGTAATTCTGTTAGTTTGGCCCTTATTCACTATGGTCCTCATTTAGGACTTTAGACATGTTGTTTTTTCCCACTTCAAAAAAAAATCTAATTTGCTTTTTTCTGCTCTGGTGTACTGGCTGGGTTTGTCTTCTCCACTCTGTGTTCAGTGTGGGTTGGGCGTTCTTTATAAGGCCAATGGTGTTTGTTACACATCACAAATAGCCTCATTCCATGTAAGTGCACCTTGACCAGCTAGACATTTTGTGAATCTTCTGGTCTGATGGCCGACCCCCTTCATAAATATTTTTTTTAATGACATGCCCCAGTTGCAGAAAACCTGCCTTTATAACAGGCAAAATATCTAAAATATCAGACTCGGCCTGCTCTACAGTAATTTGATTTTGTTTTTTCAGTCTCCATCTTTTTGTTTCATCATCTGTGTATCCGAATTTGTGTTACTGTGTGCCATTTTTTATTTTTCTCTGTGTGAGAATTTATCAGTGCATGTAGTAAGGTTTAGTTTCTTTTTATTATTAAATTTGACTTTCTATGCAGGCATTTCGCTTTGCCGTCGTTTCCATGACAACCACAGCCCCCAGGTGTCAATGCAGAGCCGGTTCCGGGCAAACGCGAGCTGATTCCTCATCATGCTCTGCTCTTCCGCTCGATCTGCAAAACCACTGGATGTTCACTAAACACCACCTCGTATTTAGACGTTTCTGTACGGGCGAGACGAGGTCCATCGAGCGGCTTCTCCTGGCATGTTCGATGAGTCCTTTGTGGTCATCTTAACCGGGGTTCATGGATGAATGCGTGCTGATATTATACAGAGAATTAACTGCAGTATTATGATATTGCAAGGCGTCGTCTGGACAGATTTTGAAAAATCATTGGAGGAAAAGAAATAGGATTCTGCAGCATTGATGGAATTCTTCATTCATTTGAGTGGTTAAATTGACTTTACGCTGCAGCCTTTCCATGGTTTGGGATGGACATCGGTGGGACCCTGGTCAAGCTGGTGTACTTCGAGCCCAAGGACATCACGGCGGAGGAGGAGCAGGAGGAGGTGGAGAACTTGAAGAGCATCCGGAAGTACCTGACCTACAACACGGCCTATGGCAACACGGGCATCCGCGACGTGCACCTGGAGCTGAAAGACCTGGCCATGTGTGGCCGCAAGGGCAACCTGCACTTTATCCGCTTCCCCACGCAGGCCATGCACCGCTTCATCCAGATGGGCCGGGACAAGAACTTCTCCAGCCTGCACACCACGCTGTGTGCCACCGGCGGCGGGGCCTACAAGTTCGAGGAGGACTTCAGAACGGTGCGTGGGGAGCTTGACGGTGGTTCTTGTGGGCGGTGCGGGTGGGAGAAAGATGGTGCTTTTCTTCTGTCTGCATTGTTGGGTTGGTCATGAAGGGTTAGGGTTACATGTTCCTCTGGATGAGTGTTGGTGTATCCCATCTCCTTGTATCACTTTAAAGGTTTTAAATAAGGCAGAGTAAAGGGCAGCCCTTTGCTGAAGAGGACCCCCTTGCCTGTGTTAATATTTTTTCCCCTTTTCCCTCCTTTGTGTCCTTGCAGATGGCTGACCTGCAGCTCCTGAAACTGGACGAGCTAGACTGCCTCATCCAGGGCCTCTTGTATGTTGACTCGGTCGGGTTCAACGGCCATCCGGAGTGTTACTTCTTTGAAAACCCGTCCGACCCAGAGAACTGCGTCAAGAGGCCATTCAGCCTGGACAACCCCTTCCCTATGCTGCTGGTGAACATCGGGTCTGGGGTCAGCATACTGGCAGTCTATTCCAAGGACGACTACAAACGCGTCACTGGGACCAGGTAGGTGCATCGTTCTTTCGGGGATCGTGTTATTGCACGAGTCACACGTATTTACACGACTCGCGTGTCATAGAACTCTTTTAACTGTGAAAATATGATAAGCTCCCTCTTTCAGCAATAATGACTAATGGCGATATGGCTGTAAATGGCTGTTCTAAGTTTATTGGGTCTACAGGGAAAAGCTGAAATGGCTCCCGTCTGGTTATCATTTTAATTTGAACGTCAATTATTCCTAGGATTTCAAAAAAAAAAAAAAAACTTTTGTACAGTGTGTTCGGTGCAGTTCTCAATCTTGTCTGAACCACTTGTTCTAGGTCTTTTCAAGTGGCTTAGTCAAATCTCAGCTCTAATCAGAGCTCTGTCATTTGCCAGCTGTGTTCATGAACCCCCTGGTGGCAGAGCTTTGGAAGTGCAAATTGCTTGGGTTGTCTTGACAGTCTGCTACAATATGGCTTTGCTGACCTATCAGATGCCCGCGAGTTGGTGGTTGCCAGAGTAGAATCACTGTGTTCCGCCAATCAGATATTAACTACTACTCATAATGATTGGTGATTCGCTATCAGTTAAAAAAAACCCAAAAAAAAAAAAAAGTTACAGCAATTACAGAGCTGAGGATTGAAGAAAATATTGTAGAATGTTGTAGAAGGTACATGGGATTACGATACAGGAAGTAATATTTTTTAACAATTATTAAATCTTCATACATGTCCAACATTTGATGCTTACAATTGATTTGTATTATAATTGCTCCAGCTTTAATTGAAACCTTAATAATCAAATATAATCAATTGTAAAAATTATAATTGCTCTACTATTGATTGATCTCAATATAATCAAGTATACGTAACCTACATGGTACATAATATGATAGTCTTGTAAGGAATAGTCCTTATTGTGAACCTAGTTAAAGCCTAGCTGTCTTCCAGACTTACGCTCACTATGTTATGCATAGTTTGTCTAAGGTAATCACTTTCCTTTTTCACTCACCATTGTGGCATCACACTTACTCAGACATAGTTAAGTGGGCAAATATTTTTTTATATATATATATATATATATATATATATATATATATATATATATATATATATATATATATATATATATATATATAAAATCAGTTTGAAATAGACTTAATAAACAAATGTGTTTTCACTGTGCGTGTTAATAAAGGAGGTTTGTATAACTTCCACCTCCTGTTATGCGAGTGATGTATCAATTTTCGCAGTGTTTCGGGATTCTTTTAATCAAAATTTTTTACCGCATATATATAAAGATCATCGTGATTAATTTAACTGCGTTAAACAAAACTGTGTTAATCAAGGGTTACTTCTGATATGCAGCATTGGTGAGAAAGCACATAGACATGTACGACGACAGTTATTCTTTTTTTTTCTTAAAATATGTTACCTGGCATTCTATTTGTTTGTCGCCAAACGCTCCAAATGGTAACTTTTTGACACAATGTTATTGCTGGTCATACATCTATGTTACATGATATATAGAATAATTTTAGAGTAGTGTCTGACCAGTTGATCTAGTCTTGAATAATAGATAATGTTTTTAATGGCAGCCAATGCTTAAGGTGGATGATGTCATCAGAGTTGAGCTTCTACCTGCAGGTCTTAACACGAACCGATAAAAACGCCAAGTTAGCAGGTCCCTGTGGTCTGATTTTTCTCCTCCTGCCCCTCCAGCCTGGGGGGCGGTACGTTCCTCGGCCTGTGCTGCTTGCTGACCGGCTGTGAGACGTTCGAGGAAGCTCTGGAGATGGCGGCCAAGGGGGACAGCACTAATGTGGATAAGCTAGTGAAAGATATCTACGGAGGAGACTATGAGCGCTTTGGTTTGCAAGGGTCAGCGGTAGCATCCAGGTGAGGGGCGTCTAGCCTGTTCCCCATTTCATCTTTGCTAGGTCCTGGTTAGCCACACGCATATAACTAGCCACGTAATACTCATCATTCCTCAATCATTTTCTGCGTTCTTTCTTCTTCTACAGCTTTGGCCACATGATGAGCAAAGAGAAAAGAGACACCATCAGTAAAGAGGACCTTGCCAGAGCCACCTTGGTCACCATCACCAACAACATCGGCTCCATTGCTCGCATGTGTGCTGTGAATGAGGTAATTAAATGCCATTAGATGTGTGCTGAAGATCCCGCAGATCTTCTTAAAACTTCTGTGAACTTCTACTTGTGAGAGATGGGTGATGGGCGTTAATTTCAGCTCCTGCCAAAGTGTTTCATTTTTAAAAAAAAAAAATAGGAAACATCTTTTGCATGTTTAAATGTGAGAGCAGATCAATTCTGGTCAAACATATATTTATTCAACATCTATTCATACTTAAAGAATATTTTTTCACCTGGAAATGAAACATTACAAACCAAGATTAATGTATGTGAAGCCGACCATATCTGTCTGGAGTTCTTATAGCCTCTACTGCCGGAGTTGAAAATTTCCTGATACTTGAATGTTTATCTTGAAAAATACTGAATAACAATTTCTTTCACTTACTTTAATCCTTTTATACATGCACACTATTGTACTGTTATTTTAACATGACACAATATTGGATATTCAATATAACACAAGAAATTGCGAGATAAACAGCAGTGGAGAGCTTATACGGTACTTTGGGTGGGGAGACGCAAGCAGTTCCATGGTTCATACAAATTCTGTGTGCTTTGAGCTTCTTTACAGTGTTGCCTTGTGGCATGGTGATCAAGCAGCATTGTACAGGGCTATCAGAGCGCTCAGGACAAAACTTGGAAGCCCTGTTTGCGTGACATTTGAGGGGGATGCAAATAATGGCCTTGGATAGATGTTCAATGTCTGTCAATATCCTTAAAAAATTACCATTGAAAGTGGCAACTGCTGACATCAAAACCTTTCTTCCTTGCAGCCTGATCCAGGAATTGCTTTACGTTTAACAACTTAGTTTTTCCTTGGGTGAATATCATCAACTTGATGTTGGGCTGTTAGATAAACCACTTATTTAAGTCCACCACAAAACCCTTAGGACATTTTTCCTTTCTGCTTGAAGTCTCTGTACTATTTTAGAATTCGAATTTAGATTTTGTAGTGAGGAATGATCTCATTATGATGTCAGCTACCCATGTGCTAATCAGTGATTGTGTCTCAGTTATAGACCTTTGTTGGCTCTTGGTGTGTGGTCACGCAGTGTAGTTAAACACTCCACAGTTAGGTGGCAGCACAACAGTTCTTGGCACCGAAGTGACCTGAGGGTATTCTCTGAAGGTATTCTCCGATCACGTATTGTCTCCATCCCTCCTAGAAAATTGACAGGATCGTTTTTGTTGGGAACTTCCTCCGGATAAATATGGTGTCGACAAAGCTGCTGGCCTACGCCATGGACTTTTGGTCAAAAGGACAACTCAAGGCCCTGTTTTTGGAACACGAGGTAAAGATAGGGCTATATGAGTGTGTTTTTATGCATATGCGTACTGGGGTTGGACAAAATAACAGAAACACTGTTAAAAAAAAGCACTTTAACCTTGTAGTCGCCTTTGTAATTGTGATTTAGTTACTTCAAAGTGCATTGTATTAGATTTGAATATCAATTAGCAGTATGTGTCAGTTATGAAACGGCCTGATAATCGGCACTTTGAGTTTTCAAAGCAGAATAATACAACTCCCCCAGACCCTGACATGGATGGATGGATGCATGGATGGTGCAGCTGATAGCATTCCAAAGATCCCAAATAGTCATGCCGGAATTATGTAATGCATCAAGTCACAAAAATTCACCAAAGGGGAACAAAGTAGCTGCTAAGTATCATAGAAAAGTTATTGCAGGATCGAATCAGCATCTCTGTGACTCAGCCTCAATAACAGTATGTTGTGAACTTATGGTGGAATTTCTGGCAGACCTGCCTTTTGGGTATCCCATGCACCCAAAGCCAGTGTATACAGACGCGTATCCCAATGTAATGAGCACAAAACCTGGGTCTCCAAGTAATAGGAAAAAAAAATCATTTGATCTGCTGAGTCATATTTCGCCCCTTTCCCTTACATCTGGAGAGAAACATGCTTGAAAAAAGCCAAAAGATGCCTTCATCCCCGTCTTCGCTGATAAAGGGCGGCCATCTCACGATGGTCATGCTAGCCATGGAATAATGAGGCCATTTTAGAGGACCAGGTGCTCCTTGTAGTGCAAACACTGTTCCCTCGTGATGGTCCCATACTCTAAGAAGATAATGCCCCTATACATTCTGCTAAACAAATTGTGGTTTCATGAACTGGCATGAAGTCAGACTCCTTCCATGTCCTCCCCATGAACCAGGTCCATCATTGAGCCCTCATGGGATTTATAGATACAAAGTAGATTTCCTCTAACTTCATCTCTGAAAGAACCAATGACTTTTCTTCTCGAATATTACTCCAATATTCCATCACACACAGGTCAGGACATATATAACAGCATTCCAAGAAGGACTGTGTCTTTTCTGCAGGCCAAAAGTGCCCCCATTCAAATTCTTCTTATTCTTCCTTGATATTACCATTTTTTAAAGGTGTTTCTGTTATTTCTATCCACCCCCTTTATTATATATATATGTGGGCGTGTTGTGAACGTATTTTATGTCTGTATTTCGAATTTTGGTTCATACCAGTAATGTCTAGGTCAGGGCTGCCCAGTCTTGCTCTTGGAGAGCTGCCACCCTACAGAGCTTAGGAACAACCTTAATTTAACACACCTGATACAGATAATCAGGCCCTTCAGTATCACCTCCGTATCAGTCAGCTATGTTGAAGTTAAGCTGGTTGTCATGCGGAGGTGATACTGAAGGGCCTGATTATCTGTATCAGGTGTGTTAAATTAGGGCTGTTCCTAAGCTCTGCAGGGTGGCAGCTCTGGTCTAGGTTAATGTTTTGGGTTAAGTGTAAAATTGTTCATATAAATACATGTATATGTCATGTGAAGATGGTTATTCACCAAGACCAAATGGAATATCACATCTTTACATGGGCGTATGTGAGACAGCGAAGTGAAACCAGTGTTTTGTGTCCCTCGTTGTCCGTAGGGTTATTTTGGGGCTGTTGGTGCTTTCCTGGAACTGCTGAAGCTGACTGATGATTTGTGAGGAAAAAAACGGGGAACCTGCCTCATCCGAGAAGCTGCTGCACGGCTTTGAAGAAAGCCAGTATACGAAATGTCAAAAAGCCATTTTAATAATTTAACGAGTGTAAATAGTTTTGATTTATTATTTTTTTCTCGCCTCTTGTTTCCTTGCCCCCTTAAGATTTTTATAAACTAATTTAAACACCGATGCAGTCAGGAGACAAGTTGGATCTCGGACATCACACTTTCCTGGTACTGTGTGTAAATATGTATTTTTAGAATGTGTGCCAAAGCAGAATTCTGACCTTCTGTTTGTTTATATTTTGGTTATATTTGATTGTGGTAGATTTAAAAACTGTGAGGACCTATATCAAGAAAATGGACCTGTAGTACACTGGCTCTGTGACACTTTTCTCCTTGCTTTTACTCTGTCCCTCAAGAGGTTTGATGAGATTAATTGATCTCCAGTTAGAGAAATGCCTCAAAAGTAGCCGTGACGAAAAGCAATAATTTAATTTTCTGTAATTTGCTCGAACTTAGTCCACATTGTCCTGTAGTGTCTGTGCATTGTCCCCTACCAAACACCTAAGGAAGAATGTCCTGGCCATATGGAAGGTGGGACCAAACTAGACACTTAATGTCCAGTTTTTATTCCCTCTCAATGTTCAGTCTCATCCCACATGCCCAGTGAGAGTAAGGTGCAGATCTTCTACAGGGGGTGTCCACATAGCGTATCACTAACTTTGCCAAAAAGGGGTCCATTTTCTTCCTTCTTCTGAGGTGTACTTTTTAATCAAAGTGTGAATCTTTTTTTTTCTTCCCTTTATGATGTTTTTTTTTCTTTTGTGACAAGTAGCCCCAGGAGATTTTATTCAGACCTTTTTGGTTGTTTTTCATGACATTTCATGATAGTATCTCGGTTTCAAGTGAAACTAAAAAGCTGGCTTGTGAACTACTCTTACCTGCCTTGTTCTTGACTTTTTCTCATCACCTGAACTAGTGACTTCAACAGACATCTATCGCGTCCCTGTACAGCGCCTTTTGTTCTTTGTATAGCTGGTGGTTTCCAGCTGTAACCAAGAGGGAGGCCGATCCCTCGCAAATCGGCAGCTTTACCATTTCAGATGCGCCACTGGACATTAGCCACGGGAAAGTTGTCGTTTCCAGCAGAAAAACATTGTCCGTATGGAGCTGGAAAGTAGGATTTGAGCAATTGTGGTGATTAGGGGTCGGGAAGGTTTTAATGGACTGGAACTGGAGGATTCCGATAAGGTGTTAGAAACCATACGTATAGTATGGAAATCGCCTGAAATAGATTGCTGGGTTTAATGTGCGTTGGCTTTTTTCATTAATTTCTCTTAGCATTTATGTACACCATGTTTCAGCTGCCTTTTCTGATTCTTGGAATCTGCAACGATATATATTATTTCACACAAAGACCTCAGAATGCTGCCGATTGCCTTGATTAACGAAAAAGATGTTGCATTTTCTTCCTGACTTTAGGATGGATGCGTTAGTAATTTCACTGTCGACCGCGTTATACTTTGTGTGGCTTTACGACTTGAGATGAATTTGTCGGTGTGTCCTCGCATAGGCACAGCGTACTTAGCCATCTGTAATACTAAACCGAGATTGCGGTGAATTACAGTTTTGGGTCGTGTCTGTGTAGGTGAACTGCCTATGTCTAGCCTGTTCCGGCACCCTTGTCTAAAGCAGTGAGTCTAAAAGGTGTGCTGTAAAAAATATTTTGCACATAACACTAACGTCAGTGTTGTTCCAATTAAACACTCTCACAAATTGCAGCTTTTAAAAGTGATCTTTTTAAAGAAGATAGATTAGGCAAGTTTATGCAGAAAATAAAAGTATTATAGTGATTGAATGGAAATTCGATCCTCCCAAGAACTAAACATGGATTTCTGTTCAAAGTTTGTCGTTATTTCGGTTTGCCTTGGCTGCTTACAGCTTATGTGTGTGTGTGTGTGTGTGTGTGTGTGTGTGTGTGTGTTTGGCCTTGCTTTTAGGTGAACAAAACACCTTTGGAAAGTTCAAAGAACAGTAATAAGCAGAGCTAAGTGCAGAATGCTTTATTTCTTTTTATTTTATAAACAGCCCAGCCTTCGCTGAGTTTTTAAACCAACGAGCAGCTACTCAGCCAGATACCTTGAAGACTTCATATGTTACTGTCAGTGTGGCATAGACCTTGAACTCCAGCGTTCAAGCAGCTCTGGGGCTAATGCATTCTATACATTTTGCAATGTGATTGAGCCACTGCCATGATTCTGGGGGCCCTGTCCTGAGGTGGTTCATGGAAGAAACATCCAAACTGCAAGCCCATGATTTATAATACAACAAACTCGGGTTTGTTTAATCGTCAGAGGTTAAAACACACCGTTAACTTCTTTTTTGTTTTTTTTTTTTTTGTGTAAAGGCTGACAGCCTTGCCTGTATGCCGAGTGCCAGAACAGAGAAATTAAAAACTGCCATTCCGAAGTAGGTTAAGCTGCTTTTCCATTTTACGCAGTTGTGTTTGTCCTTATTGTTTGAACCACTGCACTTAGTGACGATGTCACTGTGAGCAGATGCGACTGGCATCGTCTGCATTTCTGTCCTCAAGCAGTAACTTTGCCTAGGTTACCTAAGCTATTAAGTTCTTTAGTCATGCTGTTGTACTTCACGATACAACTGCTAATGTTCCAGTCTCACCTATTTCAAGATGTGTGGAAAAGAGCAAAATAGCACACAATGGTCAAAGGACCATATTAAACAAAGACCTTAGATTAAACATCATTTCCCCACTAAACCTTACGACGTGTTTTGGGTGTGAACTGAATGGCTCTCACTTTGTTTCTTTGTGAGCTGTTTTGTTTGTTTTTAAATTATTATTTAAGTCTATTTTTTTGGTGGGGGGACCTTTGATTCTTTTTTTTTGTGGGGGTATTTTTATTGT